GCTGTCAAATGAGATCTTTGGTGAGCAGCAGCAGAGTGTTAGGATATCATGACAATGAATCATGGAATCAAGGACATTCCATTAAGTCCACAAATGGTGTCGCTGGCAGAACCATTTTGGATAGGGAAAGAGAAAAAAGTACCTATTTTAGTGAGGACAAATCTCTGCTCTTCTATAATGGAAGAGGTCCAACATAATCAACATGTCCCTGCTGCCCCCAAAGAATCGTTAACAGGGGCTCAACATTGGCCTCTGCTGTGGGCAAGCTGAGCTTTCTGCCTTGGAGAGGGAAGTCACATTCTTGAGCCCATGGATACCCTTATCCCTGTTGCATGGCTGCAAGTACACAGGGCCACTCAACAAGGACAGAGGTGGCTTAACAAAGGAGCTGATCAACATCCATAAAATGGGTCATCCACCTGGTTATATTGAAAGCCTTCTCTGCAGTGAATTCCTTTTGATGAGTGTTCACATGAGAAGCAAAAATCCTTTTACTATTGGCCAGTTTTGGGAGGTCCATCCATATACCTCCTCCATAGATTTCCTTGTTAGCAATATTCCAGTATTATTCTTTCCAAGTCTCTGAGTAGCAGGCATAATAATGAGCTACTACTCATGAGTCAGAAGTTGTTTGTACTTTGGGCCATGACTTCTTCAGGGAAAATGGACATCCAAATGTGCTGCCCAAAGTTCTCCCCACCGAGAGAGTTGACTTTCACCATTTTCCTTCAGAATAACTCCTGAATACAATGGTGACAATCCAGCAGTCCACTTCCACCTGATGCTAACATACTGTGCAGACCCATTTTTTTTTAATTTTTTTTTAAAATTTTTATTTATTTATGATAGTCACAGAGAGAGAGAGAGAGAGAGGCAGAGACACAGGCAGAGGGAGAAGCAGGCTCCATGCACCGGGAGCCCGACGTGGGATTCGATCCGGGGTCTCCAGGATCGCGCCCTGAGCCAAAGGCAGGCGCCAGACCGCTGCGCCACCCAGGGATCCCCTGTGCAGACCCATTTTAAAACTAGGTACACGTTTTTTTCCCCCTCTGACAGCCTCTTCATGAGGCTGGAGAGCTGAGCTAGCTATCCATGCCACTTCCTCCTGACCTGCTCGAGTGTAATAATCTTTTCTATACCATTTTTAATTGATGATGCTTTGTTGCTATGTATGTCCAATCTTATGGCAGTTCAAGAATGACAGCTGAGATCACATCAATCTTGATGTTATCAAGACCCAGTCTTTACCAGAGTCCAGTGTTCTTTCAGCAGAGGAGAACATGGCATTGTGTCAAAACCCTGGGATTCTGGGCTTTGGGTCTCTTTTTTTGGTGTTTGCCGAAGGGCTCATACAGTATCCTTACTTGCCACAGACACTTTGGATCTTCTGAATTATTAGGGTTGAGTAGCAATGTAGCTTGCACAGCAGCTGGACCTGCTGCAGAGATTTTCATTCCCTAGGAACACAGGTTTCTCAGTAAATGAGCCAGGGAAATATACCCAAATGTGGTATATGTTGCCTCCAAAATCCAAAGAGGCCCACCAAGACATCCTCTATTAGGATGTGCAAGGTACAGAAACTTGTCTTTCATTTTGAGGACAGGATTCTTGACCTAATCTTGACATTTGAGCTTCATATTTATTGGTTATGGGGAGCTGTCCTGTGCACTTCAAGATATTTAGCAGCATCTTTGACTTCTGCCCACTAGATGCAGGTAGCCACTAACTCCTTTACTCCTATTTGTGACAACCAAAAATCTCTCTAGGTATTTCCTGTTAAATGTCCCTGAGGGGAAAAGATTGCCTCTGGTTGAAAACCACTGCTACAGAGAGTTATTGCAACAATCCTTTCACTGAATTTTTGTGACTCTGGCATTCACGTGTCTTACTAAGAATGGTTGCTGCTTCCTGTTCACCAATCAGCATGGTGTTATCAATGTAGATCAGAGTGATGTTCTGTGGGATATCTAGGAGGTCAAGATCACTGTGGGCTATACTGTGACAACAGTTTAAGAGTTGACAGGACGCTGGAGTAAGATTGTAAAAGTATATTGCTGACAAGTGAAACTTTGCTGTTTCTCATTATCCGTGCGAATTAATATGAGGGGAAAATGATTTGTCAAATAATAGCTGTATACTAGATGGCACGACGACGTTGATTTCTTCTAGCAAAGACCATATCTGGATCAGAAGCTGCAAGTGAAGTCACCATTTAGTTTTGTAATTATCAAACGTAGGAGTTAGAGGTGTGATGAGAATCATCATTCCTGCATCCATCAAATCTTTCATGGTGGCACTAATTCCTGCAGTTCAGGGATGTGGTATTACTTTTGGCTTACTATTTTGTTAGAGAAGGGCAGTTCCAGGGGCTTCCACTTGGATCTACCTACCACAGTAGTCCTCTCATTATGAGTCAGGGAGCCAGTGCAGAAAAGCTGCCAGTTGCCAAGTACGCCTAGTCCAAATATGCATTTAGGACCTAGAAATTGCCTCAGCATGTGTCTACATAAGCCATTGAGCCTTCTGGGTGAGGGACTGGGATATAAATTTAACTTATTATTTGATCACCCAAAGCTCTAAATCTATTCAGCTTAATCTAAGCTGCCTAATGCTTGTGAAGTTGACAACTTACTCTACAGTCCTTTTGATTGTCATTACTAACATGTGGCAGAGTACAGCAGGTCCCTGAGGATGTGCATAAATTCAGAGCAGTATCTAATAATCTTTCAAAAAGTTTGGCTATGTCCCCTTCCTCAGTGCACACTCGCCTTGTTAATAGTTACAGGTTCCTTTGGGAAAGGCTCAGGGAAATATTTATAGTATATAGTTGTGACAATATTGCAGTGTCCTTCCTCAAGGGGACCCAGTTTCTCCTTCACTCACTGGGTCCTGGGCATGTGGCATAACTAAACCTGGGCACCAGAATATTTGGCAGATCAATAACTGAAACAGACTTTGTGGCAAAAGTTGAGTGGTAACCCACTTAAAAATGGGCAAAGGATTTGAATACATTTCTCCAGACATACACAAATGGCCAATAAGCCCATGAATAGCTGTTGAATGTCATTAGTCATTAGGAAAATAAAAATCACAACCACTTTTTATACCCACGAAGATGGCTGTCATCCAAAAGACAGACAATACAAGGGCTGGGAAAGATGTGGAGAGATTGGAACCCTCATTGACTGCTGGTAGGAATGTAAAATGGTGCAGCTGGTTTTGTAAGTAGTCTGGTAATTTTTTAAAAAGTTAAACACAGAGCTACCGTATGACCCAGTTCCACTCCTAGGTATGTACCCAAGAGAAATGAAAACATATGTCCACCTAAAAACTCACATACAAATGCTCATAGCAACATTATTCATAATAATGCAAAAGTGGAGATAACCTAAATGTCCTTTAACTGATGAATGGATAAATCCAACGTGATATGTCCCTCCAAAATGATTGGAGTATTGATATATGAAAATATTATGCTGAAAGAGGTTCAATCACAAAATGCTGCATATTACATGATTCCCTTTACACGAAAAGTCCAGAATAGGGAATTGAGGGGAAAAATGGGCAAGTCACTACTAATGAGTATAAGGTTTCTTTCGGGGGTGATGAAAACAGTCAGAAATTAATTGTAGCAATGGTTGCACAATACTGTGAATGTATTAAAACCCATCACTTTAAGTAGGTGAGTGGTGTGGTGTGTAAATCATCTCCCACGAGGCTGTCTTACACGTCTGTAAGTAAGATAACGGGCTGGGTTTTGAGAGGGTCAAGTGGAGGTATCCGTATCCGGGTGCTTAACCCTTTGGATCTGGGGCTCAGGAGCAGAGATCAGGCCTGGACAGAGAAGCTGGGACGTCTGAGGCAGAGAGATGCTAACTGAGAGTAGGTAAAACGCAAGCACCCAGAGGGAGAGTGTCCGGTGGAAAAGGAGGGCTTGCCCCTACCCTGAGGGTACCCACACCGAAGAGAGGCCTCCAGAAAGGTGAACAGGGGCTAGTGAGGGAGGGCAGGGGAGGAAGAGTCCCCGAAGCGAGGTGACCACGAACCCAGGAACTCCGTCGGGTCACGCTGAGCGTTCCCAGCGGCTGCAGCTGGGGGAGCCCGACCGGCCTTGGCACCCACCCCGGCTCCGCAGGGCGCTGGGCCAGATCCGGGCCGGGCACCGGGCGCTCCGGCTCGGGACTCGCGGCTGAGGGCGTGGCGGCGAGGCGCGGGTGCGCCGCGGGGCAGCCGGGGCCGCGAGCGAGGGCGCGGGGCGCGGCGCGGCGGGGCGAGAGCGGCAGCAGCGGGGCAGCCCGCAGCACCTGGGATGAACCGCGCGGCCGCCGGGTCCCAGCCGCAGCCGAGCGGCGTCAGGGGGCCCCGCGAGCGTGGGCGCGGGGGAGGGGCGGGAGGGGAGCCGCCGTCCGCAGACAAGTGGCGGCGGCCGTGCGTGGACTGGGGGGCGCGGAGTTTCCTGCTGGGTTCAGGGCCGTGACTGTCCCCGTCTCCCCGGGGTCCGTGCTCGCGCCCCCGAACCCGCACGGGGACAGGCGGGGCCGCCGCCCAAGCCCGCAGGCCTCCCGCTGCGTTTGCGCACCGACAGGGTTTTGCGAGGCGGACCTCGAGGTCGCGCGTCGTGGGGCTCGCCGGCGGGGAGCTGGCGCGGGGGAGGGGCGAACCCCAGGGGGCGGCCGGCAGCAGCGGAGCCAGCGCAGCACGGCGAGGAGGAGGCTGAGCCGAGCGGCAGCAGCGGCGGCGCGGCGGAGCAGCAGGCGGAGGAGCAGCAGCGGCGGCCGCGGAGCAGCACCCGGCGGAGCAGCAGCACCCGGCGGAGCAGCGGCGGCGGCGGCCGCGAAGCAGCACCCGGCGGCGCAGCCTCCTCCGCCTCCGCCTCCCGCCTCCGCCTCCCGCCTCCCGCCTCCGCCCGCGCCGGCGCACTGACAGCCGCGCCAGGGGCTCCGAGCCTCGCGGCCCGGCTGGCGTCACGTGGTGCGCGGGCCACCGCCCCGCCCCCGCCCCGCCCCTTTCCCGGCGGGACGCTCGGAGCCGCCCCGAACTGCGCCGGGCGGCCGGGGGTGAGTGTCCGCGCGGGCCCGCGGCGCGCAGGGCGGGGAGGGCGCGGCGGGGGCGCGGGCCGGCTGGGTGTGTCGCGGGGTCCCAGGGGCAAGATGGCGGCGGCGCTCCCCTTCCCCGGCGTCCCTCACCTGGCGTTCGGGCGGGGCGGGGGAGGGGATGGCTGCCGCTCGGGCGGGCCCGGGGCTCCCTCCGGAGGCCGGGGCGGCGGCGGGCGGGCTCCCGCGGGCCGGAGGGCGCGGACCGTGCGGGGGGCGGGCCCCGAGGACGCCGCCGCCGGCCGCCCCGCGCAGGTGCCCGCCGCCGCCGCCGCCGCCGCCGCCGCCGCCGCCGCCGCGAGACGCGTCCCGGAGGCCTGGTCCCCGCGGGCCCTGTGCGCGCCCTCCGGCCCGGGGCGGCCCTGCTCCCCCCCGCGAGCCGGGCTTTGTGCCGCACGTCGCGGCCCCCCGGCCCCCGCGGCTCCGGCCCGTCGTGGTGCAGCCGCGGGCGGGGGCGTGACGCTCGCCTCAGGGGGCGGCGGCCGAGGGCGCTCGAGGTGCGCGCGTCGGGAAGGTCCGCGTACGCCCCCCCGGAAGCGATCTGACAGGCTGCGGCGACTGCCTGGGTTTTCTCTCAAGATCCGCAGACCCGAGGGAGGTCACGTCGGGGGCAGCGTCCGGCCGCTCGGCGCTGCCCCCGGCCCGCGGCGGCGCCCACGTGTCCCCGTAGGTGCGAGCGCTTCAGGATTTGCCGCCCTTTCTGGCTTAATCTTGTCTCCCTTCCCCTCCCTGTTCATCTGTTTTGCTTCTCAAATCCCACACGTGAGTGAAACCAGGTGGCGTTTGTGTGTCTCTGACTGACTTTGCTTCCATCCACGGCGTTAAGGAATGGCAGGGTTTCATTTTTTAGGAATTAATATTTTAAGTAATTAAAGAGTCAAATTTTTTTTAAAGATTATATTGATTTATTCATGAGAGACACACAGAAAGAGAGAGGGAGAGACACAGGCAGAGGGAGAAGCAGGCTCCATGTAGGGGCCTGATGTGGGACTCGATCCCGGGTCTCCAGGATCACGCCCTGGACCGAAGGCAGGGACGAAACCGCTGCGCCACCCAGGGATCCCTAAGAGTCAATTTTTTTCTTTTTCTTTTTTTTTTTTTTAATTTTTTTTAATTTTTATTTATTCATGATAGTCACACACACACAGAGAGAGAGAGAGAGAGGCAGAGACACAGGCAGAGGGAGAAGCAGGCTCCATGCACCGGGAGCCCGACGTGGGACTCGATCCCGGGTCTCCAGGATCGTGCCCTGGGCCAAAGGCAGGCGCTAAACCGCTGCGCCACCCAGGGATCCCTAAGAGTCAATTTTTAATATTATTTGGAAAGTTTCTTTGTGGGAGGAAGTGTGATAATGATGCCTTTGAAGGCAGATTGACCCAACTTTGAATCCCAGCCTCACTGCTTGACCTTTGGAGACTAATTTTTCTGAACCTTGGTTTACTCTTCTGTAAAATGGAGATAATATTCACCTCATCAATTTGTTGATAGCAAGTAAATGAGGTGTCTGTAAAGCATTAGAGCTGCTCGTCCCCCGTAGTAAGCACTCAGCAAATGCTTACCTCTTCTCCCCACTCTCTTGTGCTGCAGTTTATAATTTTTTTATTTTATTTTTTTATGATTTTATTTATTTGTTCATGAGAAACACACGAGAAAGAGGCAGAGACCCAGGCAGAGGGAGAAGCAGGCTCCATGCAGGGAGCCCGAGGTGAGACTCAATCTTGGGACCCCAGGATCATGCCCTGGGCCAAAGACAGATGCTCAACTGCTCAGCCACCCCGGCTGCCCTGCAGTTTTTTTTTTTTTTAATTTTTATTTATTTATGATAGTCACACAGAGAGAGAGAGAGAGGCAGAGACACAGGCAGAGGGAGAAGCAGGCTCCATGCAGGGAGCCTGACATGCGACTCGATCCTGGAAACTCGTGAGGTTCATGCCCTGGGGGAAGGCAGACACTCAACCACTGAGCCACCCAGGGGTCCCAGGATATAGTGTTTTAAACATAGACTTCAAAGATGTTCTTAAGGCTTCATAGATACTTAAGAATCACTAAAAGGTTGATTTGATATTAATGTTAATATCACTTCATTTAACCACTTCACAAGAATGTTTTAAAGATAAGATGAAGGGGCTTGAGATTCCGCCCTTTCTTTCATCTTTATAACTAACCACAACTCATCCTAATTTTAAAGGAGAAACAAAATTATTTGGGAGTCACAAGTGAACATTCTTTAAACATTTAGAAAGTGGTGGTTGGGGGGGGGGAGGGGAATCCCTGGGTGGCTCGGCGGTTTCGCGCCTGCCTTTGGCCCAGGGCATGATCCTGGAGTCTTGGGATCGAGTCCCGCGTCGGGCTCCCGGCATGGAGCCTGCTTCTCCCTCCTCCTGTGTCTCTGCCTCTCTCTCTCTCTATGTCTATCATAAATAAATAAAAATAAATCTTTTTTTTAAAAAAAGTGGTGGGGGTATATAGTGGGAAGTTAAACAGAATTCTTTAATGGTGCAATCTGATATCTATTGTGAAATTGGCATTTCTAAAATTGTAGGAGTGAGAACTGCAAATGGCATGAATAACAGATCAAGTAATTAATAAAAATCCGTTTTCAGTTTTATGCGTGGATGGCTTTGGTAGTAGATCTTATCAAATATAAACAGCAAAAGACCTGCAGTTCACTGGTGGAGCCACCTTAAAAAATTCTTAGGAGGAAGTGATATATAGAAAGACTTTATTCTGGACATGAAATACTAACAATTTCACGAAGTTTTGCTAAAATAATGACTACTTTTTAATAATTTCTTAAAGTAGCAAGTGATGTAGGAAAGATGTTAGGGTTCGAAGCTGATGGCCAAAAAAAGATTCTTGAGGCGTCTTTGGTGCAAAAAGGCGGTTTTATTAAAGCACAGGGACAGGATCTGTGGGCAGAAAGAGCTGCACCAGGATCATGAGGAGTGGCCCATTATATATACTTCCAAGTTGGGAGGGGGTTAAGGAAAGCGTAAGACTCTAAGGAATTTTGGAAGCAAGGTTTCCAGGACCTTGAGGGGCCAGCTATTGTTGGTGAAAGGTCATTTATTGCTGTCTAGTAAACAGTCGCGAGACCCTTCAGATGTATATCAGTGGGTCAAATGGGGGGGATGATTGCCAACATGTATCACGGAATAGAAATAAAGGAAGTTTTCAAAGAAATCTTTATATGTTGAAGTAGACTTAGAGATCCTGGGGGTCAGGCTAAGATTGCCTTTTGCCCTTAGCTAAGTATTAATGTAGAGGCAGCTGAGTCCCTAGAGGAATGTCACTCTGCCAGTTTCCAGGACTTGTTAATGGGGTGTAGGTAGGAAGGAAATTTAATTTTTCTTTTGCCTTTGCTTCCCACATCAGTAAGTTCATTATACATTTTGAAAGCATGTGGATTAGGATAGTAGAATTAATTGCTATTACCAGTCTATTTCAGTAATTACGTACGCATGCACAATCTTGTCTCATAAAAGCTAACCCCCCTTCATTGGTTTGAAGCAAATCTCAGACATATTTCATTTGTAAAGATTTCAGTTTGTGTTAGGCCTATATAATATAGTATTGCAAAAGAAAGGTAATTTGGTATTTTCAGAGAGGCATGCCAAGTACACAGAAGGGTAAATGCCTCTGATTGATTTATTCATGGGAGTGATCAGAATGGAAAACTTCATTAAACAGCTTAGCATTATAAAAATGTCTCTCTTGTTCTTCAAAGTTCTTATTTTACCATAATACATTTATTTTCCACTTAGCAAAGACATGAACAATTACAGGTAGTTTTTGAGTATGCCGACAATGGCATTGTTTAAGTACCAGACTCAGGGAAATATTTGATTTTTCTTCAATTTCAGAAAATGCAAGAACATGAGTGATAGATTTTGTGAGCATTGGAGATGGCCAAGCCCAGTTTTTCTGGGATTTATTAGCAAATGTGAGAACAATTCTGGTTTCTGTTGGATGGGCCTATATTTTTTAGAGTAGAGTTCCTAGCAGACTTCTCACTGTTTGGGGTCTGCCATTTACTTCTTGCCTTTTCAGAACCTATGTACCTAAACCCAGGTAAAGAAGAGAGGCAGTCCTTTCTTGGCAATTGAGCCAATCTTCCCATTATCATTTGTAGGACTCTCAGGTGTCTCTGTAGACTTTCTGGGACTATAGGGCAGGCTAGGACACGTGAGACTTCAGTTTCTCACTGGCAAGAGCTTATTTTGAAATCTCTGGCCCAGTCAATCCTAGTGTCTGCTCTGTTTACTGACTTGTTTTCTTGTGTGTGTGCGCACGCACGGACGCGTGCTCCATTTTCTGTTTGCCCATTGTTTTGCAGTAACCTAGAGTTTCTCAAATTTATTTGGGTAGCACTGCCAATATTTGCCATATCTATTTTTTTATATTAACTGATTTTTTGTTTATGGTAGTGTTACACGTTTTCTTTTACAGTGGAAGTAAAAGTTTTATTTAGGAAAAATGTTATATAAATAATAGTATGGATGGTAGTCATGACAAATATGAAAGGAGTAACCGAATGCCTGAAATTTTGGGAGTTCTGGATTAGGTATTAGTTTTTTTTTAATAGCTTTATTAAGATATATCTCAGATACCATAAAATTCAGCCATTAAAGTGTATACTTCAGTGGTTTTTAGTGTATTCACAGGTTTGTGTAACCATCATCACTATTAACTTTAGAATGTTTTCAAAACCCCAATATGAAACCCCCTAACAGCCATTCCCCATTCTTGACCTCCCTCTCACCTCCATCCTACTTCCTTCTGTACCAGCCCTAGGCATCCACTCATCTACATTTTTTTTCTCTGTGGATTTGTCTATTCTGGCATTTCATATTAACAGAATCATGTAATATGTGGTCTTTTGTGTCTGGCTTCTTCCATTTAGCATGTTTTCAGTGTTCACGTTGTAGCATGTAACAGAACTCCCTTTTTTTGTCACTTTATTTTTTTTAGAGCAGTTTTAGGGTCACACTTTTCTTTTAACTGTACAACTAGAATTCACATTTCAGAAACTGAAGACAAAGAATGCACATTTTGTATATTTAAACATATTTCCTATCTAGAGATCTAACAGCAATTAAAGAAAATGTCTTATTAAAGCCACCCTACAGGGGCACCTGGATAGCTCAGTGGTTGAGCATCTGCCTTCAGCTCAGAGCGTGATCCCAGAGTCCTGGTCCGTGGCCCAGGCTTGTCATAACTACACTCCGTGTCCTCTTCTGCTTCCTTGCAGCTTTATGTTCCCAAAGCTTGGTATTGCTCTTTCATTTGCCGTTGTTCATCCAAGAGAGGAGTGCAGCTGCCTGGCTGGCATGGAACGTCCTCTTGGTGAGGCCAAACAGTCACCCCAATGCACCAGGCTCCTTTTTTTTCATTTATTTATTTGTTTTTTTTTTAATTTTTTTATTTATGATAGTCACACACACAGAGAGAGAAAGAGAGGCAGAGACACAGGCAGAGGGAGAAGCAGGCTTCATGCACCGGGAGCCGGACATGGGATTCGATCCCTGGAGACCCGGGATCCAAAGGCAGGCACTTAAACTGCTGCGCCACCCAGGGGTCCCTGCACCAGACTCCTAAAGCCAAACCGTATCTACAGGTTTTAATCTGCCATTAGCATTTAAATTGAGAGGAAAGTACAGAGACTTCCCATATCCTTCCTGCCTCTACTTATGTTTAGCTCCCCTTTATCAACATACCCTACCAATTGAGTTATCTTACATTGACAAGTCCCTATCACACCCAAGTCTGTAGATTACTCTAGGTGTTGTGTTTATGGGTTTGGAAAAATGTGTAATGACATGTACTGTATCCACCATTATAGTATCATATAGAATATTTTACCACCGTGAACATTCTCTGTGTCCTGCCTGTTTATCCTTCCTTCTCCCTAACTTCTATAGCACTCGATCTTTTCCCTGTCTATGATTCAGAGTTTTGACTTTTTCAGAAACTTCATGTCTTTTTACGGCTAAATAATATATTATTGTGTAGATACACCACATTCTATTTTATCCATCAGTTGATGGACATTTGGATTATTTCACCTTTTGAGTATTGTGAATTGATGCTTCTGTAAACATTTGTATGCAAATTTTGGTGTGGACATATGTTTTTATTTCTCTTGGCTATATACCTAGGAGTAGAATTGCTAGGTCATATGGTAGCTATGTTTAACTTTTTGAGGAACTGCCAGACTATTTACAAAATCAGCTACAGCGTTTTACATTCCTAACCAGCAGCATACGTTGCCTCCAATTTTTTCATAACCTCCCCAATACTTGTTATTGTTTGTCTTTTGGATTATAGCCATCCATCCTAGTGGGTATGAAGTGGTACCTTATTGTGGTTGTGATTTGTATATCTGTAAGGATTAATGATGTTCAACATCTTTTCGTGTTCTTGTTAGCTATTTGTTTATCTATTTTGGAAAAATGAGGACATAGCTTTTTAAAACTCTTCATCTTTATAGATGAGAATACCAACACTCAAAGATATTAAATGACTTCTCAAGGTCGCATAGCCAGTGATTTGGTTATTTCAATGTCTCTATATACTCTTTCTGCTATATCATGTTTTCCCCTACTTTTTAGAAGAATACAGAGGAAGTGATCTAGGAATTCAGATGTAGAAGATCTCTGTCAGCTGGGGATGTCAGAGTAGACTTTTTGAAGATGACTTTTGAGTTCATCTGGAACATTTGGAAGGCTTTGAATATGTAGGAGAATGAGAGCAAGGCAACCTGGTGAACAAATGTTCTTTACCATGGGCTTTATTTATTAGTAAATAAGTATTTAATGCCTACTCAATGCCAGACACTGTTCAAGGTACTGAGGCTATAGCAGTAACAAAACCAACAAACACCATGAAGCTTATGTTCTTATAGGCAGAGATGGAGAGTATACCAATTAAGTAAATAATATAAAGTGATAAATGCTCTAGAGGAGAAGTGGAATAGGGACTGTCAGGGGTAGGAGTCAGGATAAATGGGTTGCTGCTTTATTTATTTAAAGATTTTATTTTAATTCTTAAAAGTAATCTTTATGCCCAACATGGGGCTTGAACTCATACCCTGAGATTAAGAGTTACATGCTGTACTGACTGAGCCAGGCAGGCACACTTAGATGGGTTGCAATGATAGAGTGTTTGGGAAGGTCTCACCTGAGGAAATGACATGAGAGCAAAGATGGAGTAAATGTTGAGTGTCTAAATAAGTGTCTAATAAGCATAAAGCCCTGAGGCAGGAGTGTGTCTGCATGTTGGGGAACATAAAGAAGCCAGCGTGGCTAGAGTGGAATGAACAAAAGTAAGATCTGTTCTATGTGGAGGTTTATGGAATAGTAATTAAAATATTCTGATAAAACCTCAGTTTTTGAAAGTTCCTAAGAAGAGGTTATGTTTTGTGTATTGAATTGTCATTCATTAGTGGGCCATTTGAAAAATGAGGATATATCAGAATGTATCTCACACAACAGGGGTAAACGTTACTTTATGAAACTTTTGTTTTGGTTAAGCATATATTTGTGAACTGAGTAAGGATATACCCTGTGTTGTGTGCACTATATAGATGGTAGTAAAAAAAAAAAATCTCTGGATTGGGATCTCATAGACTATTTGTGTAATTAACACTGTTTTTCTTCTATTTAACTTAAAATCTGGGGTGGGGGGAGAATTGAGGTATTGTTCAGCATGAAATATTTAAAACATGCTATATTGTGTCTAAATAGGCAATATATGGGGATCCCTGGGTGGCTCAGCGGTTTTGCGCCTGCCTTTGGCCCAGGGTGTGATCCTGGAGTCCCGGGATCGAGTCCTGCGTCGGGCTCCCGGCATGGAGCCTGCTTCTCCCTCCTCCTGTGTTTCTGCCTCTCTCTCTCTCTCTCTCTCTCTCTCTCTCTCTTTCTTTCTCTCTCTCTCTATCATAAATAAATAAATCTTTAAAAAAATAGGCAATATAAAGGAGTGATTTTATATTTTTGGTGTTTAATGTAATGACAGACTTGTGGTGATGAGACTTGTATCTTTTTAAGTATAAATAATTTTTGACGATGTTATGACTAAGAGTATATGTATATATATTTTATTGTAGGAGTCACACCCCAGGGGTTTATGTGGTAAATGAGCTTCTTGGCATACAAGGGAATTAAAGAATGATGGTAAGTGATCAGATACCTTAAACACTAACCTTCGTTTTTTTGTCCTTCCTTCCTTACATCTCTTTTTCATTTAGTATCTTTGCAGGATACCCTAGAGTATCAGAGATTTTTATTTCATATTATAGCTTCATAGTATTTTCTATTGATTTGTCTTGTGTTTAAACAGATCTAATGGGCAAAGTGTAGTAAAGCACTGCTAGTTTGCCAACGTGACTTTAAGGAATGTGGCCCAAAACCCAAAAGTAAATTAAAAATGTCTGTGGTCATCCATAACAGATAATTCACACAATGAGCATATGTATATTCACTGTACTTGTAGAATTCTTGGGTTTCTTTTTTTTTTTTTTTTTTGAATTCTTGGGTTTCTTATCCAGAACCATAGTAGTAACGTTCCCATAATTCTAAGATAAGAATTGAAAGCTGATAGCTGGATAGGGAAGAAGAGAACATAACTAAGAATTAAGGTTTTGTGTTCTGCATAATCATCAGGAAGTAAAGAGCTCCAAAAAATCTGAAAAGCACTTTGGGCCCATTTATTTTACGGCAACCATCCTTCGCACTTCTATAGCTCCTGAGGGCATACTGTAATACCGTACAAAAGTTGTTGTTTGATAACAATAACCTGGAAGTACCAAGGAAAGAGGAAGTTGCTTCATTAGCCTCTGTTTAAGAGGGAAGTGCGATTCAGAGATTTTTATCCAAAATGGTAAAATGGAAAAGATTTGCGCTTAGGGTGTAAAGCCCGACGGAAGGCTTGGACTCATGATCCTGAAATCAAGACCTATGCTGAGGTCAAGAGTTGGGCACTTAACCAACTGAGCCACCCTAGAATCAGATTTTTGTATATTTTGTCCCTAGAATCAGATTTTTGTATATTTTGTTTTTTTTTTTTTAATTTTTATTTATTTATGATAGTCACAGAGAGAGAGAGAGAGGGAGAGAGGCAGAGACATAGGCAGAGGGAGAAGCAGGCTCCATGCACCGGGAGCCTGACGTGGGACTCGATCCTGGATCTCCAGGATCACGCCCTGGGCCAAAGGCAGGCGCTAAACCACTGCGCCACCCAGGGATCCCAGATTTTTGTATATTTTGGCAGAGTATCACATGATTGATGATGGCCAGTTTGTTCTGCTTTTGGTCATGTTACCTTTGATCACTTGGTTAATGTAGTATTGGTTTTTCTGTTTACAGTTTTGTGTTTTCTCTTTTAAAATTAGTAAGTAGTTTATTGAGAGAGACTTTCAGGTTATGTAAATACCCTGTCCCTCATCAAACATTCACCACTCTTTGATGATGACATTTATTAAAGATCTACTACGAGGAAAAAGTTTACATTCTCCCAACTCTCTGTGTATCTAGATTCTTGGATATTTTTATTTAGTGTTGTAATCTGTTGCTATCATAATTTTGATGCTCAAATTGTCACAGATTTTAGCCAGTGGAAGCTCCTTCAACCTGGCTCTTATGATAGGTCCCTATTATTCTTTGAGCATTTCTGTATTTTCTAGTTTAACAAACTGATCCAGGTTAATTTTGTGGTTTCACTGTCTGCCTTTTTCTCACCTAATTGCACAGGCTAGGGCATTCAGTACAGCGTTGAATGAAAGTGGTGATGGTAGGCATCCTTGTGTCTTTCAGCATTATATCATTAAATATGGTGTTCGTTGTAGTTTGTGAAGAGTCTTTATCACGTGCTTTTTTTTCATGTGTTGAGATGAACATAAGGCTCTACTCCTTCATTCTGCTTATGTGGTAAATTATATTAATTGATTTGAAAATGTTAAACTAGACTTACATAATTGAAATAAACTCAACTTGGTTGTGATACCTTCCTGGATTCGATTTACAAATCTATGTGTGCATATGCATGTGTGTGTTATTTTCATATCTTTACTCATGAGATAGTTTGGTAATTTACTTTGCTTGCATTATCCAGTTAGGTTCTGATATTAGGGTGGAGTCAGGCCTTATGAAATGAATTGTGTTCCTTTTATTTTCTAGAAGAATTTAGTGTAATTTTTTGCTTACATGGTTTGGAGAATTTACCAGTGAAACTCATCTGGCTCTGGATTTTCTTTTTGTGGGAATCAGTTTCTTTAATAAATGTTCAGATTTTGTTTCCTTTTATGCCAGATTTGATAAATTATATTTTCAAGGAATTTGTGTATTTTATTAAATATTATAAGTTGATGTATTAGTTATAATATCCATTTATCTTTTTAAAGTCTGAAGATTCTAGAATCTGTAGCGATGTTCCTTTTTTATTCCTCATATTGATTATTCTTCTCTCTTCTTTTTGCTCAATAAGCATTTCATTAGCATTTTAAAATAACCCATTTTAGATTTTATTATTAGTTTTTCACTGTTATATGTGTCTTGTATTTTATTGTTCTTTGCTGCTTATTATTTCCTTCTTTTTTGAATTAATATGCTACTCTTTCTAGCTTCTTTAAATAGAGACTGAGGTCATTGATTTTTAGTTTTTTGTCATTATATTATTTATGGCTATACATTTTCCTTTAAGCATGGCTTTGGCTGCTGTGTAAGTACTGATACGTCATATTTTTATTATGACTCAATTGAAAAAATTTTAAAATTCCCAATGTGACTTACTTGTAAGTTATTTAGAAATATATTGCTTAATTTCCAAACATACGAAGATTTTTCTGATTATCTCTCTTTGGGACTTTCTATTCTTTGAAATCTAGTGAGAGTTGCTTTATGACCCATGGTGTCAACAGTCTGGAAAATAACATAGACTTGAAAAGAGTGTATATTCTACTATTGTTGAATGTTGAGTTCCTGTTCTGTCAAATATGTCAAGTTTGTTAATTATGTTGTTCAAGTCTTCTGTGTTGTTGCTGAACTGTTTTTGTATACTTCTTCTGCCAGGTTCTTAAGGCGGTCTATGAGAATCTTCCACAATGATAGTGTTTTTGCCTATTTCAGTTTTTCCTTATATGTTATTAGAGGCATATTTAGAATTATTATAATTTACTGGTTGATGAACCTTTTATCATGAAACATCATTCTATCTCTAGTAGTAATCATTACCTTAAAGTCTGTTTTGTTCAGTATTGATATAGCTCCCATTCTTTTTTTTTCCCATTCTTTTTTTTTTAAGTTTATTTTAATTCTAGCATAGTTAACATATAGCATTATATTAGTTTCAAGTGTATAATATGGTGATTTCAGCAATTCTGTGTACTACTCAGTTTGCTTCTTTTGTTCATTTGTTTTGTTTCTTAAATTCCTCATATGAATAAAATCGTATGGTATTTGTCTTTCTCTACCTGACTTCTTTTGTTTTTTAAAAGATTTTATTTATTTGAGAGAGAGTGCACTCATGTGAGCAGGGGGTTGAGGGAGGGGGCGAAGAGGGGAAGGGACAAGCAAACTCTACTGAGCATGGAGCCTGACACAGGGCTTGATCATGAGCTGAGCCAAAATCAGGAGTCAGACACTTAACTGACTGAGCCACCCAGGTGCCCCTCAATCTTTAATTTTCTGGGCCACATTAAGTAGAATCACCTTAAAATCTTTGATAACTCCATTATTTTTATCATGTGTGGGTATGTTTCTATTTTCTGTTTTTTTTCTTGATTTTCAGATATTTGACATGTTTCACAGTGTTCCTGGTAACTTTTGATTGGGTGCAGATATTATAATTTAATAGATACTTTGATGCCTACAATGATAATATATTCCCTATAAAATTTAATTTTGTTTTTGGCAATGGCTAGGGACACTGGCAGTTATAGTTTAATCCTGTCAGATATTGAAATGATTCAAAATTGGCTCTGTTTTTTGTGAGGGTTAATCTATTTCTAGTTTACCCTTATTCTTGGGATGAAACTTCCAGGTTTCAACCTAATGCCTGGTGTGGCCCTGGACAGATTTTGTTTGTGTTCTTTTGCAAGTCTAGCAAACTCTGCTCACCTTTTCTATATTAGCTGTGTCCATTGGAATTGCCAGGTGCCTCTGGGGCAAAAGCAGCCCTGATTGCTGGACTTGTGTCTTTAAAAAAATTAAAAAAAATTTTTTAAAGATTTTATTTATTCATGATAGAGAGGCAGAAACATAGACAGAGGGAGAAGCAGGCTCCCTGTGGGGAGCCCAATGCGGGACTCAATCCTAGGACCCTGGAATTACGACCTGAGCCAAAGGTAGATGCCCAACCACTGAGCCACCCAGGTAACCCTCACCTCTTTAAATTTCTTATTTTCCCTGATCTTGCCCTATAATTGCTTACTTCCTTCACTTTTTTTCTTGTGCTTTAAGCAGATTAAAAAAAAAAAATTTTGTTCAGCTCTTAGAGTTTTTCTCAAGTGGTTGTTCTGAACTACCCAGCCCTTTATAACCAGAAGGGAAGTTTATTACCTATTTGCATAATAGTTCAATGCAGGTATTCAGCATTCAGCCTTTCACATTGTAGTTCAGGGTCCAACTCTATTTTTGTTTTTTGATTCAATTCTCTAGAGAGTTCTGTGTTGGGATTCTCTGCATCTGGCTAGGAAGTGGGAGAAAAGAGAGTATATAAACGGTGATGGATGAAAATTTCTTTATAAGTCAGGGCTAGAAATGCCTTACCTTATTTTTGCCATATTTTAATGTGCAGAATTTAGCCACATGGCCATCTGTGTGCAAGAGACCAGTAAGTATTATCTAGCTTTATAACAGGACAAAAATCTAGTGGTTTTGGTGAATATATTTTTGTCTCCATCACAGAGGCTTTTATCAGTTATGCTTGACATGATGATGGCTCAGATTACGATGATATTAGTGGATTTATAATTTCAGGATATATTTAGGAGATAGAATTGCTAAGATTTGTTATCTGTTCTAACGGAGATCTCAAAACAAAGTAGCCCATATAAGACTGAAATTTATTTTTGTCCCTTGTGATAGTCTAGACGGCCTTAGTTCATCTAGGGTTTTACTTTACCTTTAGGAAGATGTGAAATATCCACAAGTTCTGACAAAGTTATTGTAGGTTACTGTATAGAATTCCAGTTCCTCATTCTGTGTTAAGGAAATTGTACCAGTTGCTCAGTTTCTCAGATAAGTTTGGGGTTTGTAAAAGTATACATAAGTGCTAACCACTCTTAGAATTTTATTTATTTAAAAAAATTTTTTAAAAAGATTTTACTTATTTATTCATGAGAGACCCACATACAGAGAGAGAGGCAGAAACACAGGCAGAGGGAGAAGCAGGCTCCATGCAGGGACCCTGACATGGGACTCCTGGGTCTCCAGGATCACACCCTGAGCTGAAGGTGGCGCTAACGCACCGAGCCACCCAGGCTGCCCCACTCTTAGAATTTTAATGTACTCCTGGTGTTCAATGACTGGTAATCTTGTCTGTACTACTTAAAGTATGAAGGGCTTTTGTAGTGGCAATTTAAAAGAAAGGATCTTTCCTTAATTATTTGGAAAGCTGAAAAACCATTTTAAAAAAGAAGGGAATTTCACTTTATGAGCAAGTAATATTATAGATGGATTTTGTTTATTTTTATTTTTTTTATTTTTATTTTTTATTATTTTTTTTATAGATGGATTTTGAAGAACATGTGAGAAGTAGAAACTTTAGTGGAGGTACAAACATAAAAATTTAATAAATAGTATTTGAAACTAGATTATAAACAAAGTTGCTTAAAGTGGAAATTAGTTCAATTTTCTTAGCTTTAGCAGAAAGATAGGTTAAAAATTCCTTTTCCCAATGTAGGAGCAAGTTTCAGAAATTATATATGTAAATCATAAACTGTGAATGTTAAACATAAAAACTGTCACTTAAGACTGATGTTTGTGCTTTTTATTGAAACATTTAGTATTGAACAAGCCTCTGCAGAATCTCTACATGGCACTAGGTGGCACACTGTGACTTTGGGATGAAAATATTATATTTTGTTTAAGTCTCCTAGAAGAACTTGGATGAAGATTATTTGAAATAGACATCTGTAATGTAATGAAGTATCTCAGAGTCATTTATTGAATATCAAACCCTGATGCTTAGATTAAAATGCTTAAAACTATTTAGGTTACTACTGATGTCTTTAAAACAATAGGGTTATTAGAAATGACTAGAATGTATGAGTTTATTGAAAACAATTCACTCAGCATATATTACAGAATGCACCTGTGATTTTATGGAAAATGGTTTTCAGTCAAATGTCATAGTAAGACGAATGTTACAATGTTTTTATATGTGAAGTACTAGAATTAAGAATTAAAACAAACTCTTGAGTTAGTGGTAGCTTTTGTTTGAGTTTGCGTATGTGTACTGAATATGAAAGAACTAACTTTTGGGAGGACTGGATGGCTCAGTCGGTTAAGTGTCTGCCTTTGGCTCAGGTCATGATCTCACAGTCCTGGGTGGGACGGAGTCCCATGTGAGGCTCCCTGCTCCAGGGAGAGTCTACTTCTTCCCTGTCCCCTCCTTTGTGCATGTGCTGTCTCCCTCAAATAAAATCTTTAAAGAAAAGAACTTTGCAAAATTTGTGGTAGAACTGAAACATTTATAGAAGAAAAGAATACTAGATTTCAAGTTTTTCTTTTTTTTTTTTTAATTTTTATTTATTTATGATAGGCACACAGTGAGAGAGAGAGAGGCAGAGACACAGGCAGAGGGAGAAGCAGGCTCCATGCACCGGGAGCCCGACGTGGGATTCGATCCCGGGTCTCCAGGATTGCGCCCTGGGCCAAAGGCAGGCGCCAAACCACTGCGCCACCCAGGGATCCCAAGTTTTTCTTTTTTAGCATTACAATAGCATTACTATCTTGTGATCACTTCAGTTCTTAGAAATTCATTACTTTATAAAGGCTCTTAATTTAGAGAATAATATATGGAATACTGAATTTTATTTTATTTATTTTATTTTTTTATTGGAGTTCAATTTGCCAACATGTAGCATAATACCCAGTGCTCATCCTGCCAGGTGCCCCCCTCAGTGCCCGTCACCCAGTCACCCCAACCCCCCACCCACCTCCCTTTCCACTACCCCTTGTTCATTTCCCAGAGTTAGGAGTCTCTCATGTTCTGTCTCCTTCTCTGATATTTTCACTCATTTTCTCTTCCTTCCCTTTATTCCCTTTCACTAATTTTTATGGAATAATGAATTTTATGATCTGACATATATCTCCATATATCTACCTATAAGATTTTATATGATTGCATAATTATCAGAAGAAGAGCTGAAAAGTAGGCCACCTATGTAAATTTGTTCATCTGGCCTGAAAGGAATAGTGATATTTCTTGGTTAAAACAATGCTTAGGTAACTTAGATGATAGATGCTAACATAAGTTATTTATAGAACTGATAATCACTGGGACATGTGTTTAAAGAAGGAGATTTTATAGTGTTAATTGGAAAGTATGGGAATAGAGATAATTCAAGAATTTTGCATGGGATGGAGCTGGAAGAGTGGTCACAGATCAGTGAGTTTCAGGGTAAGCTTATGAGTTGGGTAAGTAGATGCCATGTGGATATATATCCAGGGTAAGGTCAGAGGAATGAAGGAATGTGGAGGCAGATATTTATTTTAAAGATGTAAAAGTTAAAAGTTAAGTTCTGGTTGCTTTCGCACAAAAAAAGCATGATTGACTAGTTATTACAGAGACTATATGGCCTGCACAGCCTAAAAGAAGAAATTGTTATCTGGCCGTTTGTAGAAATTTGCTAACCTGTGCTCTAGAGCATAGTGCTTTTTTTCTTCAAGTCATACTACTCATCAATCAGTTAACTTTATTTAAGAAAATGTATTGCTTTCTTTCACATACTCCCCCGATAAACAAGCAATTAAAATCAACCAGTAGGTGAGGGGAACCCAAAACAGAATGGAAAGAGAAACATGCTACAAGTGAATAATGTAGTCAACGCTGAAAGAGGTGAGGAGGAAAAGAAATAATTTAAGTAATTTCGGATAACAAAATCCAGTTTTGGATACTGTAAGGCTAAAGATAAGAACTGTATAGAAATGTTGTAATCTTATTAATTAAAGTGTTTCTCACAGAGCTGTGGGTTAGCAATTCTGAAACTACGTATTAGAATTGAACAGATAAGTAAATATATTTTAGGTAATGAGATCTGGGTTTCTGACTGGCAAAGAAAGAAATCACAAATAAGGGAAAGGCTAAATTGAACCCTGTGTGTAGGATTGAAATCAGAGGTATCAGATCTGTTGCTAAGTAAGTGATGGTGCTGAAATGTGTACAAAGCAGTATTTGAGCTTCTTAGGGCACATTTTTCAAACCTTAGATTGTACGTATTCTTGAAATAATTTATGTTTAAAGTTGTAAAACCAGTCTTTTCAGAAATAAAAAGATCCGTGACTTACTTTCTTTTCTGTTTCACTATCTTTTCAATCCTAAATTAGTTTTCAGTGTTCCCTTTATGAGAAAATGTAAGAAATCATGAATTTGCCAGCCAAATGTATTTTTATATGTTGACTAATCTAATAATTTAATATATATTCTATTTTCTGTATGTAGGCTTCATTCCAGCGCTCCAATAGTCATGACAAAGTAAGGAGAATAGTTGCAGAGGAGGGTCGAACTGCAAGAAACCTGATAGCTTGGAGTGTCCCTTTAGAAAGCAAAGATGATGATGGTACGTATTTTTAAAAAGTTTCATTTTTGTTGTAAATTAGGAGGATAAATTTAGTCTTAAATAGTAGATAGACCAAAAACTGTTTACAATTTGAACTGTTGGGCAAATTAGCATACATTAAATAAGAAATAACTTTTTTATTGCTTTTTTAAAAAAATATAACTTTTATATTGCTTTTTTAAAAAAGATTTTATTTATTTATTTGAGAGAAGGAGAGGAAGCATGCCCAAGTGGGAGGAGGGACAGAAAGAGAGTGAGAGTGAGACTCTTAAGTAGAGCCCTTGCTAAGCTAGAAGCCTGATGTGGGGCTTGATCTCATGGTCCTAAGATCATGACCTGAGTGAAATCAAGAGTTGGGTGATCAACTGAGCCACCAAGCACCCTTTTGTTTTTTTAATCTTAGCTAATATATAAATGGTTTCATGAAAGTGTTAGTTTTGCTGTTTCATTTAGAAATGAAGGTGGGTTTGTTATCAGCAAATTAGTTTTCTTTTTTATGTTATAGGAGATTGAGTATTTTTTCTTTTATTAAATTCTTATAAAAATAAGCAGGTTTTAAAAAATTTATTCACTATGGTTAGGTACAGTTTAATGTGATGTTTTACAAAAGAAGAGTGTATTTCTTTAGTTATTATTTGAACTAGAGAAAGTATATTTTCAGTCCTTTCACTTTAATGGGTAGGATCATTGTCAGCACTGCCTAAATCCTGGGGATCTAGAAGATTGGATAAGGATTCAGAACATAGGAGGTTAGGGCAGCCCGGGTGGCACAGTGGTTTAGCGTCACCTGCAGCCCGGGGTGTGATCCTGGAGACCCAGGATTGAGTCCCATGTTGGGCTCCCTGCATGGAGCCTGCTTCTCCCTCTGCCTGTGTCTCTGCCTCTCTCTCTCTCTCTCTCTCTGTGTGTGTGTGTGTGTCTCTGTGAATAAATAAATAAATCTCAAAAAAAAAAAAAAAAGAAAAAGAAAAAAGAAAGGAGGTTGGAGTGTGCCAAAGGGGATCTCACTTTGACATTTTCTGAGTGTTTGTAGAATATTCCTCATTTGGGGTTTGTGTGATGTCATTTCATACTTAGATTCAGTTATATATTTTTGGAGGAATTCTATAGAAATTAGGTTGTCTAAATCTATAGAATTAGAAGGAATTCTGTAGAAATTCAGTGTCTCATAGGAGGCAAGTCATGGGTTTTTTTTTTTTTTTAAAGATTTCATTTATTCATTCATGAGAGTTGAGTGTCAACATTAATTGCTTGGTAAAGGTGGTATCTTCTGAGTTTCTCCACTGTAAAGTAGCTATTAACTTTGTAATTAATAAGTAGTTTGTAGTTAGATAGTTTGAGACTATGTAAGTGTCCTTGAAACAGTCTACCCATGATTTTCAGCTTCTGTTGATAATTCGTAGCTGAATAAGTTATTACTCTGGTGGTTGCAAAATGATGATTTGCTAACCTCAGTGTTCCATCTATATTTATTAGCTGACATTCTAATGCAAGAAAGCTTTCCCTTTTTCCCTTTGCCTTTGTATGTGTATGTATTTATTTAGATTTATATGAAGTCATGGTTTCTTAATGAGTTCTAATCTATCACTCTATTTTGCTGCTTAATTGTTCTAGGTTTGTTTTAGTTGTTCTAGAACAGTGGGAGACCTGTTATGCTGGCTCCTGTTTCCTTTCAAAATATTCTTTGAGAACACCCTTGCCCCACAGGATGGTTTAAGCTATATAAGAGCTCATCCATGTTTTATTCTTTTAAATTTGCTTTATGTTTACATATTTTTTACATTTTATTTTTTATACTTTGTTATTTGAAAATTTATTTATTGTATCTTTATTTTACTTTTCTACACTTATATCTCTGATCTGTTTGTAGTTTATTCTTACATATAGTATGAGGTCTCAATCTAATATTTATCTTTTTCCATATGGATGACAGGTTACTCCAGCATCACTTATTGTAAAGTCTATCTTTGTTCCATTTTTTTTTAAGTTTTTTTTTTAATTTTTATTTATTTATGATAGTCACACACACAGAGAGAGAGAGCGGCAGAGACATAGGCAGAGGGAGAAGCAGGCTCCATGCACTGGGAGCCTGACGTGGGATTCGATCCCGGGTCTCCAGGATCGCGCCCTGGGCCAAAGGCAGGCACTAAACCGCTGCGCCACCCAGGGATCCCCCCATTCCTAATTTGAATTGCTCTCAAGAATAGAGTGATTATAAAACAGTAATTAGTATCTTACAAAAAAGAATAGGTGAGAAAGATACATCTGGCAAAAATACAAAGAACTGAAAACTCTTTTCGAATTAAAAGTAAATCAGATAATTTAGTCAAAATTCTGAGTTTTTAAGTGGTAAAAAATGTATTCTTGAAGTTTGAATTGAATAAGTATTTTTCAGACCTTTTTATAAGTTGAGAAGTATCATTAACTTGACCTTATTTTTAAATTGTCAGAATATCTGACTTGTTTAAGAAGTTGATTTATTCCTGTTCTGAGAAAGCCATTCAATAAATCAGTCTCTGGGACCATGCAAGTTTTTTTTTTTTTTTTTTAATTTTATCTGTAGTTCATATTGACCATGTATAGTTTGTACAGTTTTGTGGTCTCTGGTAGGAGAGATTATGTGTTAGTATGCCCAAATGATTTGTATAGTTCAATTTTGTACTATCCATTTGTTGACCTTTATATTTGTCTATTTATTTTTACCTTGAAGGAAAATCTAAATGTCAAACTGGTGGAAAATCAAAGAGGACAATTCAAGGAACTCATAAAAATACTAAACAGGTACAGCATATACAACTTTCTACTTACTGACTTTTAATTTCAATAAGAAATGTAATTTTTTAGGATTCGAATATTGTGTATTTTGTCTTCATGTAAAAATTCAGTGTTGCTATCTTTAGCTGAAAAATGTGTATATAGTACTATGTGCCTAGCTAGTACTAAATACTTGAAAAATATTAATTTATTTGCTTCTTGTAACAGGCCCTTCAGGGTAGGCATTATTATTATCTTCTTTTGAAAATGGGAAAACAGAGGTAGGCAAAGGTTATATAACTTGCTGGTGGATGACACAGTGAAGATTTGAACCTAGGTCATCCATTTCTAGTTTATGCTCTTAACCCTTCTGTTACACATCCCATATGTGCTTATTGTATGATTTTCTTTCTTGGTATAGAAATGCCTTTAGGGTGTAAAATAGTAATACTGTTGTCTCTAAAAATTTTCAAATTGCTTTATTAAAATTTTAACACAAGCTTACTTTATTTTAAAAAGTGTTTTTTAGCAGATTAATAGTTAGCTTTTTACTTCACAGTTACTTTCTCTGAACTTTTCATATATATTATTTTGGTTTGATATTATTAAATAGACCAATATGATTTTGTAAATCAAAAACTTCACATAAGGAAAACATGAATTTCTAATCAAAATGTCATTGTGAGTTCATAAAATAATCACAGACTCCTCACCTATAGTGGCATCAATTATAAAACATTTTTTTTTTTAGTTAAAAAAACAAAGGATTTTCAAAAATAAGATAACCATTTCTGTGGATCAGAAATAAAACAAACACCCTGACAGGTAAGTGGAGTTAGGAACACAAACTTAATGGACAAGTCTTACGGGATACAGGAAGCTAATATGCCCTGATTATGGGGGAAGGGAACAAATCCAGGCTCATAGTATAAAATTTGGGGCTTATGCAGGGTTCTGCACTAGGATCAAAAAAAGCTACTATCTGCTACCTGGGGTTGTATCCTATGAATTGATGACTGAAGCAGTAAAAGGGAGTGGCCCATGATTAATGACTGGATCTGCTATATTCTTGATGGGTGAGAGTTTTAAGTCCCCAATAAATGACCTGCAGAAGTGGGACCATAGTGGGTTAGATGATGGTCACCACAACACTAGGACACATGGTGTGTGGGTGAACAAAGTGAAGAATTAAAATATAAGAAATTCAAAGTGAAATATCAAAGTACATGAGGAAAATAATATTATAAAATATAGATAACACATTCTTCAAGTAAGAGAATTTACTCCTGAGGTAATGAAAAAAAAGGCATTTTCCCAAAGAAGATTTTCAAATAACTGAGCTTAAATTCCTCAAAGGAAAGAGTAACTATAAACAAAGAGAAATTCTGAACTAAAACAGATGGATATTAATTTTGAACATTTATAGGTAAAAGTGAACCAATTAAAAATCTTATAAACAAAAGTATTGTCAATGAAATTTTATAAATCCATAACTAATGGAATAAATGCTGTATTGGACAAAGGAAAAATTTGTGAATTGGAAGATAACTACTGAGGAGAATTTAAAACATATCACAGGAAACTAACGAGATGGAAAATAAGAGAATTTAAGATTGAGAAATTCTTATATATACGTTATAGGACTTTGAAAAGTAGAGAGTAAATAATAGTGGGCATTGGCTATTTGAAGTAATAATGTTGAAAAAATGTTCTCACTTTGAGTTCTGAAGAGCTTACGAGCATGACTGTGGAGCTGAGCAGGGTTAATAAAAATAGATTTACTTACCTAGCTATATTCTAGAGAGTCTAAAGAAGGTTAAGATTAAGGAAAAAAAATCTCTTACAATACCAGGAAGTAAACAAAACCACAGAGGAATGACAGATTAATATCCTTGTAATGAACAAAAGGACAATGAAGCAATATATTTGAAGTTAAAAGACAAAATTACTTTTAACCCAGAATTCTATGTCCAGCCAAGTATGAGTGAAATAAAGCTATTTTTAGTTATTTTAGACAAAAACGAAGTGTTTGCCACCGACTGACCCTTAATGAAGGAACTACTAAAGTTGAACTTCAGCAAGAATTAAAGGTAACCTGGAGGAAAAAACTTGTTGAAAAGGTATCTGTAAATATGTTTGTAAATCTCATTTACTATTGATGGTTTGAAAAAAACCTCACACAATTAGATTCAGAAAAGTGGAATTATAGTTTTAGACAATGTTAACATGAAAGCTAGTTTGTAGGGAGTTTGAAAGGGAGTTAGAATGATAGAATCCTTGTCTTATTTAGGAAGAAGTTTTTGTTAGGAAAATATGAATGTAAGTGTGTATGATAAAAATTTAAGGCTATCTACTAAAAGCAGCCATGATTTCCAAATAGAGGAAAAGCTTTTCAACAAAGTAAAAGGCAAGAGAAAGAAAAAAGAAGCAAAAAAAAAAAAAAAAAAAAAAAATCATGCTATGTGAAAACCATGAAAGATGGTTGTGGATATTAAGTATTAAATACATTAGCAAACAACATATATAAACTGATTAAATTCACCAGTTATAAGAACTGCATGCTAACCGATTGTGCCATTGGAGCTGCACGGGTTAAATTCACTGCTTAAAAGGCAGTTGATTGAACTTAACCTCTCATTTCAAACTGAGCTATATGTTGCTTACAAGAGACACATTAAAATTTCAAGGAAATATTAAAAACAGAGGGATAGAAAAAAATCCAGGTAAATACTTGGTATTTTAAGTATACTCTAAAGTTAGTATAGCGATACTATCAAATCAGATGGAATTCAACATGAAATGCATTGATAACATAAAGATGGAAATTAATAGTAAAAGAGTAATCATCCATGAAGTGTAACAATATTGAACTTTTTAAATTTTTTAAATTTGTATTTTTATTCAATATTGAACTTTTATGTACCTTACAGCATAGGTTTGAAATATGTAAAGCCCAAACTGACAGAATTGGAATAGGAAAAGTACATTTATAATCATATTGGGAAATGTATCTGTTATTCAGATCAAGCAGGAAAAAAATGGTAAGGATATAAAATTAGCACTACAGTTAGGCTTAATTTCATATTAATAGGTATGTGTATTTTTTTAAAAAAGATTTTATTTATTTATTCATAATAGACATAGAGAGAGGCAGAGACACAGGAGGAGGGAGAAGCAGGCTCCATGCAGGGAGCCCGACATGGGACTTGATCCCGGGACTCCAGGATTGTGCCCTAGGCCAAAGGCAGGCACTAAACCGCTGAGCCACCCAGGGATCCCCCTGTATATTTTTATATATATGTGTATTTGTATGTATGTGTGTATTGGCACTTAATAAATACTGTGCACAGAACATACATGCAAAAATTGACCACATACTGGGTCATAAAGATAGTCTCAATAAATAGAAGTCAGAGAAGTCAGACAGAAAGAACATGTTCTCTGCCTATAATGCAATTAAATTAGAAACAAAGGATAAGAGTACTTTAATATCATATATCAGAAATAAATTATTGATGGACTAAAGGCCAAATGTGAAAACAAAAATTTAAAACTATCTAGCAGGATATTTTTATGACCTTGAAATAGGAGAGGCTTTCCTGGATAAGACAAAAAACACAACTCATGGATAATTTATGTAAAATTAAATTTATATGCTAAAAAACTAAACAAAATTAAAGGTAAGATTGACTGGAAGAAGATACCGTATATTAAAACTTAGAAAAAACTAAAATCAGAAAAATCCAATGGAAAAGTGGGGGAAACCTAAATAGATTGTAAACCTGTGAAAAGATACTTTGTTTTATTTATTTTTATTTTTTTATTTTTTTTAAATTTATTTATTTATTTATTTATGATAGTCACAGAGAGAGAGAGAGAGGCGGAGACACAGGCAGAGAGAGAAGCAGGCTCCATGCACCGGGAGCCCGACGTGGGATTCGATCCCGGGTCTCCAGGATCGCGCCCCGGGCCAAAGGCAGGCGCCAAACCGCTGCGCCACCCAGGGATCCCAAGATACTTTGTTTTAGTAGTAATCAGGGAAATGCCTCTTAGCTACTTGTGAAACCCTACCACTTTGCCCTCTAGAACTAGGTTCATCATCAGCATATCTTCTATATCCTTCTCTTCTCTGAACATTCCCTTTGCCTTCCTGTTTTAATTAAATCCCAACTCTCCTGTGTGGACTATGCTTCCTTCACAGTCTTTTAGTAGTATCTGCAGCTCTCTGACCTCTGCTCCTAGAGCTTGATCCTTACTGCCATTATGGATGGTTCTCCCTTCTAGCTACTGAAACTCCCTAGAGCTGAAGCTCATTCCATCAGACTATACTATCTGCTTTTTTCTTCTTGTAGTCACTGACAGACTTCTAGGTCAGTTCTCCTAATTCCTTGAAAATATAATTTCCAGCTCACTGCATGCTCTCCATCATCACTGCTGTCTCAATTCCTTGCATTTCTTTCCTCCAACAGTCTTGTCTTCTACTCGTTCCCATGGCCTGACTCTTGCCTTGTTCTTACTGATAACTATTCCCTCTCCAGGATCTCAATCACAGCCATCCCTCTTCTGCCTGTCATTTCTTTCCACCATACTCTGATCTCCTGACTCCAGTAATTCTTTAGCCCTATGGAAGCTGTATTTTTTTGGATCCTGCCACCCTTTGAGTATCCTTTTTTCCATATCCACACTTCCATATCCAATCTTCCCTGAAAATTCACCTGAGATTCTGTGGTTTATCTGTTATCACTTTCTTGTGTACTCTCCTAGCTGTATCACTCTCCTGCCTCTTAGCAGTGTGTACTTTATAGAACTATCCTGATTAAATCCATCTTTCTGCTTGTGCTCTGTATACCAAAGCATTTTGAACATGACTGGAGAAATGTATCAATTATGTTGACAAGGCTCTTTTTACATTTATGACCACTAACCTCCTGGATAGTACTGTCCCAAAGTCCTATTGTATGTCCCTAGCTATTTGTATCAGTCAGGTCCCGTAGACATGAAGAGGATAAGAAAAGGATACTACAAAAGACTCCGTATGACCCAAGTTTGATAACTTAGGTGAAATGAACCAGTTCCTTGAAAGACATACACTATCAAAACTCTTTGAAGAAGAAATAAGTAATCTGAGTAGGCCTAGGTCTAAGAACTTGAATCAGTGATAAATAACCTTCCAAAACAGAAAGTGCCAGACCTGGATGGATTCACCTTTGAATTCTACTAAGTATTTGAAGAAGAAATTAAACAAATTCTCTACAATCTCTTTTGGAGGGTAGAAGCAGAGAGAATAGTTCCTAACTCATTTAATCAGGCCAGCATTATCCTAATACCAAAACCAGACAAAAGCATTACAAGAAAACTGCAGACTAATAATTCTCATGAACATAGATGTAGTAAAATATTAGCAAATCATATCCCACAATATTTGAAAAGAATAATACACCATGACTAAGAATGTAAATTTAATTTTACATAACTTATCTGTGAGTTGTGCTTTTTGTCTTATCCAGGAAAACCTCTTCTATTTCAAGGTCATAAAAATATCCTTCTAGATAGTTTTAAATCTTTGTTTTCACATTTGATCTTCAGTCCATGAATAGACTAAAAGAAAAATCACATCATACCAGTAGGTGCAGAAGAAGCATTTGACAAAACTCAACACCCATTTATGATAAAAACTTTTAAAAAACTAGTAATAGAGGGGAATTTCCTCAACTTGATTAAAACAAAAATCTACAGAAACCCTTGCAACTAATGTGATACTTAATGGTGAGAAACTAGAAGCTTTCACCCTAAGATAAGTTATAAGGCAAGGATGCCCCTATCACTACTGTTTTCTAACATTATAATGGAAATTCTGGCCAGTGCAGTAAGGAAGAAATAGGCATATAGATTGAGAAGGAAGAAAGAAAATTGTCTTTGTCTACAGATGATATGATTATATAAGAAATCTGAAAGAATCAACAAAAAACCCTCCTGGAACTAATAATCTGTTATAGCAGGTTGCAGGGTACAGAAGTCAGTGGCTTTCCTGTATACCAGTGATGAACAAGTGGAACTTAAAAACACAATACCATTTACATTACTACTCCCTCAAATTAAGTACTTGGGTATAAACCTAACAATCTATATGCAAAGGTCTATATGAGAAAAACTATAAAACTCAGATGAAAAAAAAGAACTAAATAAATGGAAAGGTATTCCATGTTCATGTAGGAAAACTGAATATTGTCAAGATATTCTTTCTTCCCAGCTTAATGTGCAGGTTCGATACAGTCCTGACAAGTTATTTTATAGATATTGACAAACTGATTCTAAACTGTGGAGAGGCAAAAGACCCAGAGTAGCCAATGAAATATTGAAGAACAAAGGAGTTGAAATCTTTTTTTTTTTTTAAATGTTTTTTTTAAATTTTTATTTATTTATTTATGATAGTCACAGAGAGAGAGAGAGAGGCAGAGACACAGGCAGGGGGAGAAGCAGGCTCCATCTCCATGCACCGGGAGCCCGACGTGGGATTCGATCCCGGGTCTCCAGGATCGCGCCCCGGGCCAAAGGCAGGCGCTAAACCACTGCGCCACCCAGGGATCCCAAGGAGTTGAAATCTTATGTCCTCCCAAAAACCCGCACATGGATGTTTATAGAAGCTTTATTCACAATTGTCAAAACTTAGAAGCAACCAAGATGTCTAGTTAGGTGAATGGCTACATCAATAGTAGTAATAGTAGTAATCCAGAAAATACTTTTATTTAGGGCTAAAAAGAAATGAGTTATCAAGCTGTAAAAAGACATGGAGGAACCTTGTATTAATAAGTGAAAAAAGCCAACCTCAAAAGGCTACACAGTGTTTCCAACTGTATGGCATTCTGAAAAGGCAAGACTATGGTGAGAGTAAAAAGGTCGGTGGTTGACCTAGGTTCAGGGGTGGGGGTAGAGAGGGGAGAATAGGCACAGAAGATTTTTAGTAAAGTGATGATACAGTGTATGATACTGATGATGATGGATGCGTGTCATTTTTACATTTGTCCAAACCCTTTAAGAGAGTAACACCAAGAGTAAACTGTAAGGTAAACTCTGAACTTTGTGTGGTTATGATGTGTCAGTGTTGGAACATCAAGAAAGTACATGTTCAATTTTATGGGCCTATGCATTTTTCTGCAAATAGGTCCCTAAGAATTGTTAGCTTCTCGGGGCGGGGGTGGTGGTGGTCAGTGAGCCCTTCTGAGAGAGATGAGTCAGAAATCTCAATTTCTTCCTTCCTCTTGCCCTCTCCTTCCCTTTACTTTTTCTCCCAAAAGTCATTGATTAAAACAATATAACATCATGGAATTCATCTGTGTCTAACTTCCCCCACAAATGTAGATTGCTTTGTTTTCTTGAGTATCTTGGAAGTAGCTAGGTACAGTAAGCTGTAGTAATGGATACTTAGCTGATTTTTAATCTTGGCTTTATCACTAGTATGAGACCTTGGGTTCATTCCTAATTTAGCTGAATCTTAGTATTGTCTTCCGTAAAATGGAGATAATGATGTTACCTATGATAATTGCTTCAAAGGTTAAATGAAGTAAAACTGTATGGAAAGCACATTGCACGGTGCCTGGCACCTGGCAAGTGTGCCATGAATGTTGTTAGATGCTGCTGCAATTACTGTCGTCACTGCTATTATTTTTATCAGTGGTAGGTAAGAGCCCTATACTTTGGAACTGTGTACTGAGTTTTAACCTCTACAATTTGATTTACCTGTTCTACTTTTTCACAAATTTGGCAATTTTGCCATTAGTTTATTCACATTTTTTTTCCTATGAGCACATTTCTTCTCCTCTTTGTCTTTCTCACTATGATCATACCTAACATAATTGGGTACTAATTGTGTGCTTGGTGCTATGTGAAATGCTTTATGAGCATGGGAGCAGAGGTTGAAAGACTAAGTTCTGGTCCCAGTTCCATCACTCAACCTTTTGACTTGCTAAGAAATTCAATCTTTCTGAGCCTCAGTGTTGTTTTCTGCAAATGGGAATAATAGTATTTGTCCTGTCTTTACAGTTTGTTGTAATGATTAAATGACATAATGTAATCAAAATTCCTTCATGAAATATAAATAAGCATATAAGTGTAAAGTATTACCGTTTTGGCAAAGATAAATAGCAAATTTGCCTAGCACATTGCCTTTCAGTTGGAATTATGTAACTAGTTTTTGCCTCACTAGCATCTTTCTTTGTAAAAGCTTTATATAGAACAGTCACAAAGAATAGAAACATTTTAACCTGGAAGCAGTAGTGCCTATTTTACATTGTAAGAAAGGATGGTAAAATATTTGAATCCTACACATACAGATGCATGCTATGGTAAATACATACATGGGTGAAAATGAGTGAAAGTACATTTGAGAATTCCATAAGATTAGAGTCTCAATTCACAGGAAGCTACTAACCCTTTGCTGATCAATGTAGAAAAACTCCATGAAGGAGGTATAATTTGGGAAACTTCTCAACTTAATTTTACCTTTGGATGGTGTATAGGAATAGAAGTGAGGTGGTACGGAATATGTGGCACAGGGCTGGCAGCACAGGGCATGAGGCAGTGTGGTGGGAAGCCACCAGTGTCCTTGCAGAGCTCTAATGGGAACATGGTCCCCTGTGGTGATAGTTCTTTGACAGATTAGGTATTAGCCTCTGCAGTCTTCTAAACTGTAAAATGGAGCTAATAATAATACATACTTTAAAACTTGTGTGAAGGAGGTTAGAAGGTTATGCGAATTTGATTTACGATCTGTAATCCTGTATAAACTGTTAATTGTCACAGTTTTTAGGAGAGTGGACAGACTTGAGCTTTACTTCAGGATGCTAGTCAAATGGAATTTTGAATTCGGTTTAATCCAAGGAAGGGATATTTGCTATAATAATAAAATTATTTACTACTAGGGCTGGAAAGAACTTGGAGAACAATTGAGGCAAAAGTTTTATGGATTGTTAACATTGAAGTTTTATTGCATGAGTATTGAGAATTTGGGCCTCGACCGAGGCTATCACATAAAATAGTTGCTAATTTTTATTCACGAAATCAGGATGGAGAACTGCGGAGGGAGGACAAGGAGCTCTGTGTCAGCCTCTTAAGTGTATGTGGTATCTGTGTGTGTACGTATGTTTTGTTTGCTTCCTTTTCAGCGGTAAAGATTCTGTATAAATCAGTGATTGGCTATACAGGATTTATGAAGTTTAGGAATCACTTATGTTGAAGAACAAAGCATAACACAAAGCAGGAGGATATTAGCCTCTCTTTCAGTTACTCTCCACTCTGGGGCACTTCTATGAGAAAGAAAAACAAGCAAACAGGAATGATACACACATACACAAAACAACCCGAAGGAGCCTGGGATTGTTTGTTGCTCTAACTGTAGTAGAGGGTCAGTATTTATTTATTTTTCAGTTTAAGTAGCCACAGTTAAGCAACTCTTTACTTCCTCTAGTGAGAAGCTTTAGGTTTGCATTTTGAATTTCTGACTTTATGTAAACTACATGCTTTTTGGTGGAATGAGTCTGTGGTACAGTTTGTAAAACTATAGAATGTAATCTTTATTTTCAAAGTTTGTACAACTGAGGAAAGAATGGGTCCTTCAGTGCTCCTTTTTGACTAAGGGTCTGTTCACTGCTGAAGCCATGCTAATCTTCAGTAAGACATGTCTGAAATAAAAAAAAAATGACCTTATAAACCTGCTGCTTTTAAGACGAGAAGCTTTGTTTTGATGAATTCAGCATGATGTAAGATAAAAAGAAGGTCTCATTTTCAAGTATTTATGTTGGAAAATGTGCTTTGTACAAAAATCCAATCCCTGAAGGCTTTTAAGAAATATATTTTTTTGTGTGTTTGGTTTTATTTCTCCAGAACACTGCAGTAGACTGTAAAATAACATCATCTACAACTGGAGATAAACACTTCGATAAAAGTCCCACTAAAACAAGGCATCCTCGGAAAATTGATCTAAGAGCTAGATACTGGGCATTTCTTTTTGACAATCTTCGCCGGGCAGTAGATGAAATCTATGAAACTTGTGAATCAGATCAGAGTGTGGTAGAATGTAAGGTAAGGTTTGCTTTGGCACTTTTAGCTTAAAGCCAGATTCTTATTTTTATTACACCTAACTAGATCATTTATCTCGGTATGCATACTGTATTATTACTGTAGTCACCATGCTGTACATTAGATCCCCACAACCTCCTCATCTTATGACTGGAAGTTTGTGCCCTTTGACCAGCATCTGTTTTTCCCTACCCTGGGAACCACTGTTGTACCCTGCTTCTACGAGTGCTTCAGGGTTTTTTGGTTTTGAATTTTTGAGTATTCTTGTTGCTCTTTGCCTTATTTGCTTTATCTAATTATGTAATATTCTATGCAAGATTTGGTAGAAAGCAAGATTTGATATGTAGTCCTGGGTAAGAAATCGTAAAAGATGGACACACACACACACACACACACACACACACCACACAGAATTAGTTTAAAAATCTTTTATCTGCATTCTCCAGTACGGTAGGTGGCACTAGTGAGATTTTCACATTCTTTGGTTTCATGTTTAATGTCTTTAATTGGCCATTGCTCCCTTTCTGCTGAGATACTTATCACTCTTCTAATTCACTCTGGTCAGGGAAAAGTGAGATTGATAGCTAGCCATAAACAATCCTGGGTGGGATTGGGGATGTCATTGTAAGGTGTGTTTTCTAATTTCAGATAACCTGTGTTTGTAATAGGATATTAGATGCATAGTGCAATCTGTCTCAAAAAATTCACTAAAAAGCCCAATCTTTTAGTAAATGGAAACTATATTTTACTTTATACTGAACAAAATTATTTTGAGAAAAACTAGAGTGCTACATCTTCATAGAAATATTACAGAGTTAGCTTGTGTTTCTATAGTGAACAGGATCGAAAACTCTGGAATTCATTATTTAACCTTTGAAATATATGAAGGATCAAAGAAAAGTTACATGTTAAAACAGAAGTTGTGTTTCCTCTAAAATTGGAAACAGCCAAAATAGGTTTTAGAATAGCCTAAAAATATTGACCAGAAGTAGTTTTCAGAATGAATAGTAATTGAAATCCTCCAAATTTATAGTTTGGTTGTCACACTTAATATATTTTTTTTAATAAATTAATCTTTTATTGGTGTTCAATTTACCAACATACAGAATAACACCCAGTGCTCATCCCGTCAAGTGTCCCCCTCCGTGCCCGTCACCCATTCACCCCCACCCCCCGCCCTCCTCCCCTTCCACCACCCCTAGTTCATTTCCCAGAGTTTAGGAGTCTTTATGTTCTCTCTCCCTTTCTGGGAAATATCAGAAAGGGAGACACTTAATATTGTTACTACCAGCATGTGAGACTTTTTATGTCTTAAGAAAATATGTTTAAAGCAAAATAATAACCTTGGAGTTTAATGAATCAGCATGTTGTGGTAGAAAACACTATTGACTTTAATTTTAGATTGTAGTTTCTTTTATAAAATGAGCATTTAGGCCTAGATAGTTTCTAAGTCAGCCATAGAGATCAGTTAGATCAGGAGATTCTTTGATTTTTGTCATTAAAAATAAAAAAAAGATTGATTGAAGAAATAAAATTTGTAAGATGTGTACTTCTTTACAGAAGTGAGTTGGGTATGAAAATAACTTTTAAGAAATTCAATAGTAATAGATTTTTTTTGTGTGTGCAAATTATAGGTCATAAAAATGGAGAAGATTTTGACAAACGGAAAATAGTAGAGATGTGTTCTTTATTTTCTGTACTGTTCCAAGATGCTCAAAGGCTTATGCTGAGAAATAAAATGAGAGCTTAAAAGTTACTATTTTATTTTTTAAGAAGATTTTTATTTTTAAGTAATCTCTACATCCAGCACGGGGCTCAAAGTCACAACACTGAGATCAAGAGTTGTATGCTCTTCCCGACCAAACTAACCAGGCGCTGCTTCAAAGTTATTTTCATACTCAACTCTGCTCCTCTCCCTATCCAGGACTTACAGGTGGTGATGTAAAAAGGTATAGTTTAACATTTAGTCTAAGCATGTGCTGGGTGTGTAATAACTAGAATTCGTTTTTTGTTTTTGTCTTGTTCTGTTCTTACTATAAAGGCACTTTCAGACCTTATCTCATTTATATAGTATCTTTGTGAGATCCGTAACTCAGAGAGTTTTCCTCACTGTGCAGGTAGATTCAACTGTTGTTTTGTGGATATACTGGCAAGATTTATCCCTATTTGTGGTTTTAGTGTTTGAGCCTTGAAAGTCATCACAACTCATTTTTTGGTCTTAGGTATAAAATAGCAGTTAATAACACCTGTATCCTGTAATTCACATGCTAAGTATAGCATGATATGAAAAACATCAGCCAGGATTGCTGACCAGAGCCCCATTCTATAACCAAAGAGGCTAAATTTCTAGTTTTTTTTTTTTTTTTTTTTTTTTTTTAGTTTGAAGATGTGCCTTTTATGGCACTTCACTGCATGAATTACTATGAATTGACATTCCAGCAAAACTCTACTCTGACCATCACCACTGCATTTCCCCTTCTCCTTTATAAAGAGATGTGCTAGAGGATGGGAGAGGGCCTTTTGGAGAGTACACAGTGAATGAAGCAGTAGCCATCCTCTCAACTTGTTCTCAGAAAAGTTTGAGGTGGGGTTTGAATTTCTTGTAAACTTTGTGAATGTGGAGGCTGTTTTCTTATTCTCTGGCTGGATCTTTGCTGTGCTGACTTGATTTTGATATTTTGGGAATGTGTCCAATGAGTTTGGGGGAAAGCATGCTGGGTACACATTGTACTTTGTTTTCCTTATTTCCCGTTTTTAAAATTTTTTTTTTAATTTTTAATTTTTACTTGTTTCCAGTTTTAACCTGGGGGGAACTGGGTGTGTGGCTCTACAATATTGGATATAGAGGCTGGTGTATGCATCTGCTCTAGAGATTTCATAACACAGTAGCCTTGCTGGAGTAGCTCATGGGTTAGTATGCCTTGGAAGGAGATGGGATGTGAGTTCTCAGTGATCAGGTAAAGAGGACCCCCAGTGAGTCTCATGATTTATGTCAGGGAAGGAGTATGGACATTGGTGAAGATGTTGGAGTCATAGAGGCTTTCTGTGGGGACACTTAATTAGGTGGGAGTATGCAAAACACTGATGGAATCGGGGCAGATACTGCTGGGGCAGAGGGAGCCAGTGTGAATCTGAACACTGCCTATCATGCATGTACTGCAGGGATCAGCAGACACCACTGACTTCAGCCTGAGTCAGAGAAAGATTAGGGATACATCTCTGCCCAGCAGTACTTGACTCTCTCAGCAGTTAAGCATCACTGGAGAAGAGGGCGGATGACTGTAGCAGACCCATCACTAATATCTGGTGAACTTTTGTAAGTTGAATATTGCTCTGTTCCCACAGCTGCTACATAGGGCAAAGGATAGAAGTTTGTGAATGAGAAGGAGGTACAGGGGAAGAAGAGGGAAGTAGCCATCTGCTAAAGGTCATGTAACTCTCCCTTGTGCTTACAGGCAGGTTGTCTGTAGATGGGATTTTAAAACCTTGCTTCAATAATTGAACGTATCTGAAAAATTGTGTAATTTTACTGAGCATACTCAGCAGGTTTAGTATTCAACTAAGGTTATAGGGGAGAAACATAAAAGTATTCTTTGTTTATATCATGATGAGTTGAGATTTCTCAGTTCAATAAGTAAGGATGAAAGTGAGATGTGAGAAAATGTTTTGAAAGATATGATGTGCAATAAAAAGAAAATAAGCTTTATACTTAGATATATGGAGAGTCAGAGTTGGAGAAAGAGGAATATAGGTCCAGGGACAGAGAAGGTGTAATCGTGGAAGTAGGAAGACCAGGAGAACAAGAATGTCCTGAAAGCCATTGAAGAAGTAGCAGTATTGGAGAGGCCAAGAATGATTACAGTTGATTTTTATTTTTATTTTAATTTATGATAGTCACAGAGACAGAGAGGCAGAGACACAGGCAGAGGGAGAAGCAGGCTCCATGCATCGGGAGCCCGATGTGGGATTCGATCCGGGGTCTCCAGGATTGCGCCCTGGGCCAAAGGCAGGCGCCAAACCGCTGCGCCACCCAGGGATCCCAATGATTGCAGTTGAGAGGAAGCTTTTTTGGTTTGGCATTCAAGAAGAATACCAATAGGTGAGGTCAAGGCAGAGATTTGTGCTAAGAATTTGAAATTCCTTTTGATGGGTTCTTTGGCCTTTTTATAAAAGTAGAAGGTATGGTTGGAAGTTACTGCCCTGAAAGAGTTGTGATGGGAAATTCTTCTCTTTCCTGTGTTTTCAGTTTTCCTTATTAGATTCCTCTCCAGTCAGTATTTAACTTGCTTTTTTCTCTTCCATCCTAAATGAGAACAGTAGAAACCCCAACCCTTTCTCTCCTTGTCCTTTCATCTCTTGTCCCACCCCCATTTTTCTCCTCTTCGTTTTGGCAGAACATTCTGTATTTGCTGCGTCCATTTCCTTTTCTCTCAGATCCTCAGACTGCTCCAGCCTGGTGCCACATCCTGTCAGAGCTCTAGGTAAGCTCTTATCACAGCGGCTGGTTATCTCAGTATTGCCAAGCCCAGTCATGTTTTTCAGTCCCTTCCACGGTCTCTGAGCAGCACTTCACACTGTTGACCACGTCCATCTTATAACACTTTCTCCTTTGACTTTCATGAAACAGTCTTTGCTAGTTTAGTTTTCTTCCTTTGAAGGCTGCTCCTTCTGCCTCCTTTTTTTTTTTTGGCTTTTTCCACCTGTCCTTTAACCCTTTAGCTGTTGGGAGGTGATTAAGCCTCTTTTTAGTCCATCTTCTTTTCTCACTATCATACTTTGTCTCCTGGCAATTTTCTCCAGGCCTTGCCTTAATTTACCATTTATTTGCTGCTGATTCTTATTTTTGTTTGTTTGTTTGTTTTAAATATTTTATTTATTTTTTCATGACAGACACACAGAGAGAGAGAGGCAGAGACTCAGGTAGAGGGAGAAGCAGGCTCCACGCAGGGAACCCGACGCGAGGCTCGATCCCGCGTCTCCAGGATCACACCTCAGGCCAAAGG